GCTGCTTTAGCTTCAGCAGCAGCAGCCTGATTTGGGCCATCATATAGCCAGCTCAGAGCTTCAAAGAAAGCATCTATTATTAGCAGGGCCAGATGGTTTGATTCCGGACTAAAGGCCCTGGCTTGGGGGGCACCCTGTAGTAATAAAGGGATGGTTTGCACCCCCTGTGTTTCAGAGGCAGACAAGGATGGCTTTAACTTGAAAATATAATTGGCAGTTGTTTTTCACCAGGAAAACAATCCGGCAAAGGAATCTTTGGTTAAGGTGATAGAGTATTGGCAGAGCGGTAGTAGGAGGGGGAGATTACACTTTAGTGATATTGGTTGCCAGTTCCTGTACTTGCTGGTGTAAACAGCCAAGATCTTGAACAAACATCTGAGCTTGTTCAGAATTCATTGGGTCACCTTCTCCTTTAATAGTATGGCTTGTGATAAGGTCAGGTCAGGAGTATAGATAACAGTAAAACATTTCCGAAGTGCTACATATGCAGACAGTTCAATAACAGATAGCACATACCACAACCAGGACCATAGGCAAGACAGGCAGGAGGGTCAGGCAGAAGCATAGCCTAGATGAGCCAGATCACACATGAATAGAGTCCAAAATGATACAGAATCACATTGGAGAGAACAGGGTCAGAGCAAGTCAGGTTGTAATCCACAGAGGAAACACAAGCTTGGTCAAGCAAGGGCACACCAGGTGATGTCCATTATCACGAGCACTGCTGGTGTGCGAAACAGCTGCTTTAAATATAGGCAGCAAGGAGCTTGCCAATCATGGTTGTTTCCAGGTAAGGCTGCCTCAGGTAAGTTTAGCTCAGTCTTAAAGGGCCAGCTCAAATCTTGGTACTGACAGAGGGCTGAATATCCCAAAAACAGCAGTATGAAATGCCTTGCTTAGAAAGCATGTGTTGCTAACCTAGTTATATCTTTAAAGCTGAGTTCCACTCACCCTATCAAAAAATAAAAGTCAGCAGCTACAAAAACTGTAACTGCTGACTTTTAAAAAAAAACAGCCACTTACCTGTCCCTAGGTGTGTCCCCCGCAGCTCGTTTCACCGGCCGTCCTGTATTCCAGAAGGCCAGCATCTTCAGTGTGGGCACCCAGCTGTGACAGCTTGCGGCTTCACAGCCTGGTACCCACTGCACATGCGCGAGTAGAGCTGCGCTTCATAAATGGTCCTGTAGTCTTCTGGGACCTGTGACGTGTCCCCAAAAGACAACAGGGAGGGAGGGGGGAGGACACTTTGCGCTTCTGATTGCCTAGGCTATTGGACCGGAAGTGGGAGCGGGTACCTGTCAAATTCAGGTACCCACTCCCCCCCCCCGTTCCCCAAAAGTGCCAATCCTTAATGGGAGCAGGGGAGCAGTCCTTAATGCGGAACTTCCCCTTTTGGGTGGAGCACTGCTTTAAGACTAATTGGCATACTTCAAAACATATTCATATAAGAACATATAAGGGGGCTTTTATTTGTTATACTTTCCACTATATTCATATGGTCCATGATTGAATGACGTGCACTTTAAATGTTAACTGTGGCCTCTTTACCTCACCCTGCTTCCTTCCTTCTAATCTCTAATAAACATAAACATAGAGGAGAGAGGGAGAGAGCGAGAGAGAGAGGGGGGGGGGAGAGAGGTGAGAGAGAGGTGTGAGAGAGAGAGAGAGAGGTGAGAGAGAGAGAGTAGAGAGAGAGGTGAGAGAGAGGGCGAGAGAGAGAGGTGAGAGAGAGAGAGAGGCGAGAGAGAGGTGAGAGAGAGGTGAGAGAGAGAGAGAGGTGAGAGAGAGAGAGAGAGAGAGAGGAGAGAGAGAGAGAGAGAGAGGTGAGAGAGAGAGAGAGAGAGAGAGAGAGAGAGAGAGAGAGAGTGAGAGAGAGAGGTGTGAGAGAGAGGTGTGTGTGAGAGAGAGAGAGAGTGTGTGAGAGAGAGAGGGGTGTGAGAGAGAGAGAGAGAGAGGGTGAGAGAGAGAGGGGTGTGAGAGAGAGGTGAGAGAGAGGTAGAGTGGCTGAGAGAACTCAAATGCCTTCAGTGCTTCTGCTGCATATTTTGAGAATGAATTGCTCTGCAGTGCCCGCAACCATAGAGTTCAGAGAGGGCTTCTTTTAAAAGCTCATTTATTGCTTGTTAAGAACATGTAACTACCTGAATAACCATATCCTGGTATAGATACAATGTAAATGTCATACTGCCAATTTTGTTTTCTTCAAATGAGCGGACTTGTTCTTCATTTTGTTGTTTTGTCCCATACATAACAGTCCTTATCTGGGCTCTGCTATTGCATAAAAGTAATTATGAACCTAGGTCGAAGCTGATTTTTCTACAGACTCAGAGGCCATTTACCTTATTCTGTGGACGGCTTTAGTAAATCCAGCCAATTAGAATTTGCTGTTCCCTACACATTGTAAGTCTGTGCAACAGCTTTCTTTTTTTTCTTTTAAAGCAGAAACTATTTTCAGACAGGTTTGAGTCTTTGAGAAAAACCTACAAGTCCTCATCCTTTCATAGCCCCTAAACATCTACAGCTGTGCAACTCTTCAAGGGCTTACTTACCTCCTCCAGCAACAGCACTACTGTGCTGCCTGCAAAGCTCTTTTGGTTGTACTTTCCCTGTGGATCACAAGAGTGCAGTTCATTCTGCACCAGGGGCTGACTGACAACTCACGGGGCCCCTGGGCAATAGGGGATCATGGGGCCCCTGTGTCCTTGCCCAAACTCAAAAAAGCTTATGAAAAAGGTAACAGGGGCATCTCATGGGGCTCCCTACTGACCCCCCTCGGGCAGTGCCCGAGTTTCCAAATGGTCAGTCCGCCCCTGTTCTGCACTCATGTGACCCATTTTCAGCTGTCACTCAGCTGGTCTAGGCTGGGGTAAGATCCCAGCTTTAAAGTCAGGATCCACTCCAGGGTCTGGAGCGGCACCTGGCTGAGCCTCTCAGCGATCTGATGAAAGCCAGTTGCTCCCTCCCCGTTCACAGCCCTGCTAAATTCTCACACTTGGAGCAGGTGGGGGACAGATGCTGCATCCGCCTAGGTAAGTATAATTTGGGGGAAAACAAGACAAAACAAAAAACTATTCCCATACTTCTCTTTTAAAAAACCCAGGTATATTCAACCTTTAAAGACACCTGGCACAAACATATTATATAAACACCTATTGCTAGCATAAATATTCTGTATTTTACACTGTATAATCGGTGTCATTGCTGGAAATGTTTTTGCCTTCCTTGGTTTCAGCGCATAGCCTGTCCATTTCACCTTAGGTTTATATACCTACAGGACTCATGCTATTATAATAAAACACTAATAAGAATGCAAGCTACTTAACCTCTTGCCGTCCGCCTGCTGTTTATAAACGGCAGGGCGGTGGCAGTCCAAGGTCGGGTTGCCGTTCCTAAACGGCACCCGCCTTTTCTAGCTGTGCGCGCTCCCTAGGAGCGCGCACCACCACCGATCCGGTGTCCGCTGTGTCCGGAGGACACAGTGAAACACCGATCGTCGGACGGGACCTCTGTACGAGGTCCCGGTCATGTGATCACTGATTGGCGAATCAGTGATCACATGCAAAGTAGTAAGCAAGATGTCACTTGTGACATCATTGCTTACTACGTGTGAAATCTGTGAATGATCACAGAGGTCACATGGTACAAGGCTATTCACAACAGCCTTGTACCATGTGACAAGCTGTGACCAATCACAGCTCACTCAGTATTTCTCAATGACTGCAAGAATGCAGACAGAGAGAAAGAGAAATGATTGCCTTTACATCCTATATGGGTGTAAAAGCAATCAGTGTAAAAAAAAAAAAAAAAAATCATCACCCCCCACAAGTAGTACAGTGTCACCATGGTGACACTGTACTGCTAGGGTGACAGTATGTAAAAATAAAAAATAAAAATAAAAAAATATAAAAAAAAATAAAATAAATTGTAAAAAAAAATGTTTAAAAATTATAATGTTTGGTTATAAACTAATTTGGATTTTTTTTTTTTTTACTAAAAAAATAACGGAATAAATTTTGGCCAAGATTTAGGATGAAATATTATTTATTTGCAAAATTTTATAAAAAAAACACTTTTTTTCAAAATTTTTGGACTTTTTCATTTACATAGTAAAAAAAATAAAAATCCCAGCGGTGAATAAATACCACCAAAATAAAGCTTTATCTGTCTCAAAAAAATGGTAAAAAATTCATATGGGTACAGTATTGCATGACCGCGCAATTGTCATTCAAAGTGTGATAGCGCTGAAAGCTGAAAATTGCCCTGGACAGGAAGGGGGTAAAAGTGTCCAGACAGGAAGTGGTTAAGGATTACCTGTGCTTTGTCCATGTGGTGCATAGCAACAGATTTATTTATCTCTGCAGCAGTTTCCACCTACCTCCCCCTTCACTCCCCTGCCACTTTATTTGGCCACCAGGAGAAAAGAAAATATCTAGTACTTCAAGGGAAAACATGTCTAATTCATCCTCTTGCCACTGAACTGGTGCTTGGCACTTGTCCACTCACAATTACTGTAGGGGCCACTCCTTGGAGCACACATGACTTTTCTTTGCTTTCACAAGTGAATAAAGCACCAGCAAGTAAGTGTAAGCTTCTGTGTGGTCCGAAATTATTATCCTCATAGGTAAAGCACAGATTCGCTTTAAGATACACTATTCATTATCTGTGTTCTGAATTAGAAGATACAGGAAAGGCAAGCACATTGAGCATGCTGTATTGGATGTGGCAAGAGCCAGTGTTGACAGGCTTTTGGATCACTTCAGAACTGCTTCTTACTCTACACAAAGCCTATCAGAGTATACAGTAAAAGCTGCTGAAGCAGGTCAACTGCAAGTCAGTTGCACCTGCAATAAATTCTGAATGATCTCAAAAGCATCTCAAACTGAAGTCAAAGGCACACAGTATTTGAACATTGAAGCCCATCAACAAATACAATTGTGATTTAAAACAAGAAAGCAGAAAATGTCTTTGAGATTTGTTCACCCAAAATACAAGTCTTCTACCTGTTTTCTTATTGCCAAACTCTGAGTAGAAGTCTTTTTCTACAGGCTCTGGGGATGGTGTTCGTGCCAGCAAGGATAATACAGACATGAGCTGTTGGATGAATGCATGGGTAGTATAGCTGTCTCTGGTTAAACACGTTACAACATGGTTTGGAGAAGGACCTGTAAAGCAAATGAAACAAAATTCAAGATTATGATGTAGTAAAGCCATTAAAAAGAAAATTAGAAGAAATTCACCTCATAACATTAATAGGATTACAAAATGGCTATCTACGTAATTTATTATGACCTGGACTAAAGCTATTTCAAAAATATTTTTTTTAACCAAAGTCTAGCAAATTTATATTCACATTTACACAGCTTCAGGATTAGTTCACCTTTTCAGAAAAAAAGTGCTGCCAGTCAGGTCTGTCAGTCAGTGTGATGTCAGTCAGCTACGCCCATCAGTGTCGCCTCTCAGTGACCATCAGTGTTGCATCATCAGTGCCTCATCAATGTCCATCAGCGCCACTCATCAGTGCAGCCTATTAGTGCCCATCAGTGCTGCCTATCCATGCCACCTCATCAGTGCCCATCAGTGCTGCTATCAGTGCAGCCTCATCAACGCACATCAGTGAAGGAGAAAAATTACCTGTTTGCAAAACTTTATAATAAAACAAAGAAAAACTTTTTTTTTCCAACTTTTTTTTTTCTCTTTTTTGTTTATAGTGCAAAAAATAAAACACCCAGTGTCAATTAAATACCACCAAAAGAAAGCTCTATTTGTGTGAAACCAATGATAAAAATTTCATTTGGGTACAGTGTTGCATGACCGCGCCATTGTCATTCAAAATACGACAGTGCTGAAAACTGAAAATTGGCCTGGACACGAAGGGGGGGGGGGTGGGGGGGGGGCAAGTTTAAAGCAGGGTTAAGTTATAAAATCTCCCAAGCTTTGAACATCTCACATAGCACTGTTCAATGCACCATCCAAAAATGGAAACAGTATAGCACAACTGCAAACCTACCAAGACATGGCCGTCCACCTAAGCTGACAGGCTGGGCAAGAAGAGCATTAATCAGAGAAGCAGCCAAGAGCATTACTGTCCATCAGACTTTAGGAGGGCCGGAGTGCCCAGTGGGAGAAGAAAATGTCCCAGCATCAGTAGGAGTAAAAAAAAAAGTGACATAGTGCTTGTAGTCTTGGAAGAGGAATAGTGTCAAGTCATTGGTATTAGTTAGAGGAATAGTCATCAATGGTGTCAGTGGGATAGTGCCCCATCATTGGTGTCAGTGGGAGCAACAGTGAATTGGTGTCAGTGCCAGTGCCCCATCATTGGTGTCAGTGGGAGCAACAGTGCCCCATCATTGGTGTCAGTGGGAGCAACAGTGCCCCATCATTGGTGTCAGTGGGAGCAACAGTGCCCCATCATTGGTGTCAGTGGGAGCAACAGTGCCCCATCATTGGTATTCAGTGGGGGAGGAATAGTGCCCCATCATTGGTGTCAGGGGAGCAAGAATTACTGGTAGGAACAGTGCCCCATCATTGGTGGGGGGAGGAATGTGCCCCATCAGGGGGGGAGAATAGTGCCCCATCATTGGTGTCAGGGGGAAGAATACTGCCCCATCATTGGTGTCAGGGGAAGAATACTGCCCCATCATTGGTGTCAGGGGGAAGAATACTGCCCCATCATTGGTGTCAGGGGGAAGAATACTGCCCCATCATTGGTGTCAGGGGGAAGAATACTGCCCCATCATTGGTGTCAGGGGGAAGAATATTGCCCCATCATTGGTGTCAGGGGGAAGAATATTGCCCCACCATGGTGTCAGTGGGATGAATAGTAGTGCACCGTCATTGAGAATCAGAGAAAGGCATAGTTCCCCATCCTTGGTATTTATTGGAGGAATAGTATCTAATTGTGTATATCAGTGGGAGGAATTGTGCCCCATCATTGGTGTCAGTGGAAGGAAAAATGCCCCATAGTTGGTGCTAGTGGAAGAAATGGTGCCTCCTTGTTGGTGTCAGAGGGAGGAATAGTACCCCAAGGGTAGGATAGAGGCAAGCGAAGGGCCGCATTCGGCCCATGTGCCGCAGTCTGGAGACCTCTGGTTTAGATCAAAGCATATTCATGTGTAAGAATTGCCCAGTCAAAGTCCTGACCTAAATCCAATTGAGAATCTGTGGCAAGACTTGAAAATTGCTGTTCACAGACGCTCTCCATCCAATCTGACAGAGCTTGAGCTATTTTGCAAAGAAGAATGGGCAAAAATTTCACTCTCTAGATGTGCAAAGCTGGTAGAGACATACCCAGAAAGACTTGCAGCTGTAATTGCTGCGAAAGGTGGTTCTACAAAGTATTGACTCAGGGGGGTTGAATACAAATGCACGCCACACTTTAAGGATCTTTATTTGTAAAAAATAATTGTAAAAACCATTTATCATTTTCCTTCCACTTCACAATTATGTGCCACTTTGCGTTGGTCTATCACATAAAATCCCAATAAAATACATTTACGTTTTTAGTTGTAACATAACAAAATGTGGAAAATTTCAAGGGGCATGAATACTTTTTCAAGACACTGTAAAAAGGTGTCTCATTGCCAACAAACAAAAACATCTCATGATTGGTAAAAGTTAAGAGCTCTCTCAACACCTTCGCAACCTTATTGTTGCAAAACATAGCGATGGCATTGGTTACAGAAGGATTTCTAAACTTCTGAATGTTCCAGTGAGCACGGTTGGGGCCATAATCCAGAAATCGAAAGAACATAATGTCACCAGCTTCATGGAACATAATTTCACCTGGTCATGACCAGGTGCGCCTCGTAAGATTTCTGATAGAGGACTGAAAAGAATCAGAAGAATTGTTCAAGAGCCAAGGACCACTTGTGGAGAGCTTCAGAAAGACCTGGAATTAGCAGGTACAATTGTTTCAAATAAAGCGATAAGTAATGCACTCAACCGCCATGGCCTGTATGCACGCTCACCACGCAAGACTCCATTGCTGAAGAAAAAGCACGTTAAAGCACATTTACAGTTTGCTGCAAAACATTTAATCAAGCCTGTGAAATACTGGGAGAATATAGTCTGGTCAGATGAGACCACAATTGAACTCTTTGGATGCCATAATACACACCATGTTTTGAGGTCAAATGGCACTGCACAACACTCCAAAGACACCGTACCAACAGTGAAGTTTGGAGGTGGGAACATCATGATGTGGGTTTGTTTTTCAGTATAGGGTACTGGCAAACTTCATATCATTGAAGGAAGGATGAATGGAAAAATGTACCAGGATGCTTAATACAAATCTGCTGCCATCTACCAGGATGAAGATGAAATGAGAGTGGACATTTCAGCAAGACAATAATCCCCATCCCAAGCCAAAGCCAAAGCAACTCTTAATTGGTTTCAAAGAAAGAAAACAAAGCTGCTAGAATGGCCCAGCCAACCTGACTTGAATCCAAAAGAAAATCTATGTAAAGAACTAAAGATCAGAGTTCATAGAAGAGACCCACAGAACCTTCAAGATTTGAAGACTGTGTGAAAGAATGGGCCAAAATCACACCTGAGCAATACATGCAACTAGTTTCTGCAAACAGGAGGAGTCTTGAAGCTGTAATTACCAACAAAGGATTTTGTATGAAGTATTAAATAAATTTCAGTTAGCGTGTTCAATACTTTTTCCCTGTGTCATTCTATTTTATTACACATAACTTAAATTTCTGAACTTATTTGTTTTGGTTTCTTTGTATGTATGGATTGCACGGGTTGTACCGACACGTGGTAAAAATGTCAAAATCACCTTTATAAATATATTTACTGAGAAAAATGGTGATGTTTTCAATACTTATTTCACCCACTGTACATATAGTTTTAATGCACCCTAATGGAAACTTAGGGATGAACCCTCATCTTATTAGAAAAACTTAAAAATGGTGAACTCACCCCTCCGGTCACCACTGTACTTACGTGAACGATGAACAGTACCCACACAGCCGGTGTGGTGGTCCGGGGGGGATTTGAAAACCCCACTCTTCTTTCTCGTCTTTCTGCAGTGCTTCTGGGATGGATCAGAGTGATTTTAATTTGTCAGTGCCAGCACAGAGCATCGCTCTGATGCGTCCTGGAAGCAGTGCAGTGCTGACATCTCATCACCCACAGAGGTATACTACTATATAATATAGTACCACTGTATAATATAGTACTGTTCAAAAGTTTGAGGCAGGTCTTATTTCAGAAACAGAAGTGTTAATAGTTTATTTCTGATCAACTAACAACATGGAAACAAATGAACAGAAGAGAAATCCAAATAAAATCAATATTTGGTTTGACTACTCTTTTCCTTCAAAACATTATCAATTCTTCTAGGTACACTTGCACACAGTTTTTTGAAGGAATTCGGCAGGTAGGTTGTTCCAAACATCTTGGAGAACTAACCACAGATCTTCTGTGCATGTACAAACCCTGGAAAAAAAGTATGGAATCACCACTCTTGGAAAATGTTCATTCAATTTGTTTGTGTAGAAAAAAAAAAAACAATCACAGACATGCCTCAGAACTATTTTCATTTAACATTCCAACCTTCTGGCTTTAAGAAACTTAATAAAATAAAGAAACAAAAAACTGTAGTCAGTTGCAACTGTTTTTGCACATCAAACACAGGAAAAAAAAATATGGAATCAGTCAATCCTGAGGAAAATATGGAATCATGAAAAAAAACACCACTAGTACTTTGTTGCACCACCTCTGGCTTTTATAACAGCTTGAATTCTCCAAGGCATGGATTAACTATTGACAAACCGTATTAGTCCTCATTCCGGCTCCAACTTTCCATTTTTGTAATTGCCAGATCAGCTTTGCAGGTAGGAGCCTTGTCGTAGACAATTTTCTTTAATTTCCACCATAGACTTTCAATTGGATTGAGGTCCGGACTATTTGCAGGCCATGCCATTGACATTATATGGCTTTCTTGAAGGAAAGTTTTCACTGCTTTTGCTCTATGGCAAGATGCGTTATTCTGAAAAAGGATGTCATCATCACCAAACATCCTTTGAATTGATGGAATAAGAAAAGTGTTCAAAATCTCAATATAAACTTGTGCAATTATTGAAGATTTAATGATCGCCATCTCTCCCGTACTTTCACCTGACACGCAATCCCATATCATCAATGATTGTGGAAACTTGCACGTTTTCTTTAGACAGTCAACTTTATATGTTTTATTGGAACGGCACCAAACAAAAGTTACAGCATCATCACCCTGCCCAATGCAGATTTGTGATTGATCGCTGAATATCACTTTCATCCAGTCATCCACAGTCCATGACTACTTTTCTTTAGCCCACTGTAACCTTGTTTTTTTTTTCTGTTTAGGTGTTAATGATAGTTTTTGTTTTGGCTTTTCTGTATGTAAATCCCATTTCCATTAGGCCATGTCTTACAGTTCTGTCACAAACATGGACTCCAGTTTCTGCCCATTTGTTTTGTGCATTTTCTGTTTTCAAGGCTTATTGCTTTACGTTTTCTATCTTGGTACTTTGTCCTCATTGGTCTACCAGTATGCTTCCCTTTTATAACCTTCTTATTTGATTTGTACTTGGTCCCATTTTAGACACAGCTGACTGGGAACAACCACATCTGTGATGATTTACCTTCTTGCTGAAGTATTATAATCCTCTCCTTTGTTTAAACTGACATCTCTCGTGTTGGAGCCATGATTCATGTCAATCAGCTTGGTGCAACAGCTCACCAAGGTGTGCAAGCACTCTTTAACTGCAGACTAATTAGCAAATGTGATCTGATGCAGATGTTTGTTTTAGAACCGCAAAGTACATGGCGATTCCATAATATTTTCCTCAGAATTGAGCGACTCCATATTTGTTTTCCTTAGCTTGATTTTTAAAAACAGTTCCAATTGAATACAGTTTTCTTTTTCATTTTTTTTTAAGTGTTTCTTAAAGCCAGAAGGTTGGAATGTTAAATGAAAATAGATTTGAGGCATGTCTGTGATTGTTTTTTTCTTTCTACACAATTAAATGAACATTTTCCAAGAGTGGTGATTCCATACTTCTTCCAAGGAGTTGTAGGCGGCCTCAGATCCTTCTGTCTCTTCATGTAATCCCGGACAGACTCAGTGATGTTGAGATCAGGGCTCTGTGGGGGCCAAACCATCACTTCCAGGACTCCCCGCTTTTCTTTATGCTGAAGATAGTTCTAAGTGACATTGGCTGTATGTTTTGGGTCATTGTCCTGCTGCAGAATCACATGCCTCCTTGATGGTATGGCATGATGGATAAGTATCTGCCTGTATTTCTCAGCATTGAGGACACCATTGATCCTGACCAAATATCCAACCCATTTGCAGAAATGCAGCTCAAACTTCCACCGTGCTTCAATGATCAAATTTTGACTCATCAATCCAGAGCACTTTCTTTTTTCTGTACCCCTATGTTTTTTATACATAGGAAGAAGAAACAAGGCTAAGAGACTATGCATAAAACATAGGAACTGGGGTGCAGAAAAATGGCAGCAGGTGTTCTGGACTGAAGAATCAAAATGTGAAATATTTGGTGGTAGCGGGAGAGCACTTGTTCACAAAGGGCCGGAGAGCAGTGTCTGCAGGCAACAGTGAGACCGGGTTCACACTAATGCGGTGCAGGACACCCCATGTGCTTCGCACAAGAATCGCACTGCATTCCTGTGCGAAATACATGCGATGTCTGTGCGGTGCGATTTGAGCCATTCATTTTGTATGCCTCAAATTAAATCCGCACCAAAAAGGTGCAGGACCCTTTTTTTTTTTTTTTAACCAGCACCTGTATACCATTGGATGAGTGTTCGCACCCATGTGATGCGATTTCTGGCAATCGCACTGCGTTTCGCAATCTGTTTCGGGGTGTCATTAATTTAACATTGACACCCGTACCAGATCGAATGAATATCATGTGCCATGCAATGCAGTGTGGGAAACTGCACAGGATTCTCTGCGTTTCTTGCACCGCATCAGTGTGAACCAGGTGTGAAAGCATGGTGGAGGTTCCTTGTAAGTATGCGGCTGCATTTCTGCATGCCATACCATCAGGGAGGCTTGTGATTGGCCTCAAATTTACTCTGTAGCAGAACAATGACCCCAAACATGCAACCAATGTCATTAAGGACTATCTTCAGTGTAGAGAAGAACAAGGAGTCCTGAAAATATTGTTTGGCCCCTACAGAGCCCTGATCTCAACATTAAGTCTGTCTAGTACCACTTGAAGAGATAGAAGGATTTGAGGCAGCTTACATCAACAGAAGATCTGTGGTTAGTTCTCCAAGATGCTTGAAACAACCTACCGGCTGAGTTCTTTAAAAATCTGTGTGCAAGTGTACCTAGAAGAAGTGAAGAATTGCTGCTGTTTTTAAGGCAAAGGGTGTTCATATCAAATATTGATTTGATTTGGATTTCTCTTATATTAATTAACATACCATTTTGTCAACTGATAAAAACAAACTATTAACACTTCTATTTCTGAAAGTATTTCTAATTTACAGCATTTTTTCACAACTAGTGTAGTTAAAGCTGGAAAAACTATTCTAAAACACAAAACATAAAAACAAAATGCAACCACAAACACTATAGTTTCTATATTTACATACCCAATAGCTAAAAACAATATACTGTATGCAACTATAACCAGAAAATAATAGTAGTTAACAATATACACTGCTCAAAACAATTAAAGGAACGCTTTTTAATCAGAGTATAGCATCAAGTCAATTAAACTCCTAGGATATTGATCAAGTCAGTTAAGTGGCAGAGGGGGGTTGTTAATCAGTTTCAGCTGCTTTGGTATTAATGAAATTAACAACAGGTGCACTAGATGCGCAACAATGAAACAGCCCCCAAAACAGGAATGGTTTTACAGGTGGAGGCCACTGACATTTTTCTACCTACTCATCTTTTCTGACTGTTTTCAATAGTTTTGCATTTGGCTAGGGTGTCACTACTGGCAGCATGAGGCAAAACCTGAACCCTACAGAAGTTGCACAGGAAGTCCAACTCCTTCAGGATGGCACATCAATATGTGCCCATTGCCAGAAGGTTTGCTGTGTCTCCCAGCACAGTCTCAAGAGCATGGAGGAGATTCCAGCAGACAGGCAGTTGCTCTAGGAGAGCTGAACATGGCTGTAGAAGTTCCTTAACCCATCCCAGGACCGGTATCTGCTCCTTTGTGCAAGGAGGAACAGGATGAGCACTGCCAAAGGCATACAAAATTACCTCCAGCAGGCCACTGGTGTGAATGTCTCTGACCAATCGAAACAGACTTCATGAGGGTGGCCTGAGGGCCCGATGTCCTCTAGTGGGCCTTGCGCTCACTGCCCGGCACCACAGAGCTTGATTGGCATTTGCCATTGAACACCAGAATTGGCAGGTCCGCCACTGGCACCCTGTGCTTTTCACAGATAAGAACAGGTTCACCCGGAGCGCATGTGACAGACATGAAAGGGTCTGGAGAAGCCGTGGAGAATGTTATGTTGCCTGTAACATCATTCAACATGACCGTTTTGGTGGTGGGTCAGTGATGGTCTGGGGAGGCATATCCATAGAGGGACGCACAGCCCTCTACAGGCTAGACAATGGCACCCTGACCTCCATTAGGTATCGGGATGAAATCCTTGGACCCTTTGTCAGACTCTACACTGGTGCAGTGGATCCTAGGTTCCTCCTGGTGCATGACAATGCCCAGCCTCATGTGGCAAGAGTATGCAGGCAGTTCCGGAAGGATGAAAAAATTTATGCCATTAAATGGCCCCACACTCGCCTGACCTAAATCCAATAGAACACCTCTGGGATATCATGTTTCGGTCCATCCGATGCCGCCAGGTTGCACCTCAGACTGTCCAGGAGCTCAGTGATACCCTGGTCCAGATCTGGGAGAAAATACCCCAGGACACCACCCGTCATCTCATTAGGAGCATGCTTCGATGTTGTCAGGAAAGCATACAAGCACGTGGGGGCCATAGAAACTACCGGAAAGTTCCATTTTGAATTTCTGAAATAAAATTTCAGCAAAATGGACTAACCTTCTGCATAATTTTTTCACTTTGATTTTTAAGGTGTCTTTGAATTCAGTCCTCTGTAGGTTGATAATTTTAATTTCCATCAAACGATGGGGCATCCTTATGTTCCTAACACATTACCCAGTCCATATCAGTATATCCAGCATGATATTTTCCCCATTGAGATCTGATGTGTTTTCAAAGTGTTCCTTTTTTTTTTTGAGCAGTGTACATACAATCACCCTAAAAAAAGCAATATAGTAAAAGAATATTAAATCAGTTTTACACAAAGCAGATTACGTTTTTTTTTTTTTTAATGTAGCAGGTTTGTTTCAATCCTCTACCAGGAAACACTTATGATATATAACAATGGTCCCCTTTAATGCAAATATATTGATATGAGGTCCACACTACAAAGTACTTTATGATAATGAAAAATATTGCGTTCCTTAGGAGAGTGGCCCCTTCACAAAGGCCCCCCCCCTCAGTTGGATCCCTGACAAATGATGTTTTGTTGCAAGTGTTACCCTCTCTTGTTGCCCTTTGTTTACAAACACAAATCTGCCCCTGGAAAGGTGACACAAATCCCCAAAAAGCATCAGATAACCTCTAGCTTTTCAATAACATATCTGAGCACTTTGTTTCCTCCTAATTAGAGAAGAGGTCATTCTAACAATAAATAGGATCATCCTACTATATAGAAATGTACAGAACCTAGAATATTTTAGGTCAGACTAAAAGAAACAATGTACCTGTTATTCTAAAGAACTGGTCAAAAAGTCCAATGTTTACAGACTGCAGATCACTGAACTTTATCCCTATACAGCAGCAATGGTGGAACAAACTGTGCTCTAAGCTGGCATTGTTTTGGTTGCAGGAATCTATAAGGAAAGAAAAAGAAAATTTATATTTCCACCACAAACAGTAAAGGGCGCAAACCTCCTTTTGTTTTTTTCACATAAATAATGTGATAGGAACAATAACTTACTCAGTGGTATCTGATTTATCTTTTTTATTGTGTCATCCAGCACAAAATAAACTGCCTTTGTTGACAGCAAAACACAGGATGTGATTTCCACGTCTGGTGTCCGATAAAATGAAAGGGATGACCACATGAGGTGCCGTAATTCTTCATTTTCATCCTGTAAAGCAAGTCATGTGAGAGAGAAAAGCTAAAACAAATACATTTTTACATTAATGATGCAATATGCCATTCACTAGTACAATTACTACATGCTTAAAGGGCATTTCCAAATAAAAAAGAATAAGGGAGCTAAAAAGGCTATTCAGCAATCACTGTAACTTTCCTAAATTGAAAGTTTGATTTGCATTAAACAAAATCTACGCTGAAAGCAATAAGCAGCCCATCACTGCTGACCTCCTCCTGAAAATGTGAATTGCCTGGATGTCCCTTAATCACCGACCTGGAACTTGTATATAGCTAGTGGAGTCAGAATTTTATAAATTACTGAAGCTGGATCATGACAGTCACGTAATTATCATTTTCAGAAGGAGACGTCAACAGTGACAGCCTACATATTTATTTCAGTGCAGGTCTAAAGCTAGGTTTAATGCAGCTCATCAGTCACTGGACAGTAATTCCTTAATTATCATCAGTTATCTGCGGTCTTGATAGCAGCATTGATACAATGTAAGAATATGGAAATTGTCCCGTTTTGCAAAACTTGTGTTAAGCTTTACTAGCATGGTGCAAATACAACTGTTAACTAGTACAACTCAACTAACATGATCACATCTTACCCTCTGATTGTGAGTACCACCGCACTTATTGATCTGTCCAATCAGAATTAGCCATCAATCTTAGGGGCAAGAACATTTGTCCCGTGCAGGGACGTGTTTTGCCGGTACAGAGACACACAGGTGTTGCATGTATTGCTGTCTATTGGGACACATGGCTGCATGGACAATATATGTCCCAATATGACATCCGTGTGGTGTGGGTGCAAGTTTCCAAACTCACCCTATGTGCTTTTGAGACCTGCGCCCTTCACAGATGTCATTTTGGGACATAGCGGCTGTATCTGCACAGCCACATGTCCCAAAAAAAACAATGAGACTCTGCCACAGGGATGCATGCAACACGTGTTCATCCCTGTGCTGGCAAAACACAGCCTTGCACAGGGCATGGATGTCATCGCCCCATGTGAACAGGGCCTTACACATACAGAAATATATAAGGAAGTTATTCAGGTTTAGAATATTGTCAGGTCATACTAGTGTGATGTGCAGTGATGACAACCCTTTTAAACTAATGCTTACAGTTTATAGCCTTCCTTCCGCCAGTTGAGAAGTAGTGTCAGCAATCATGACAGTAAAGGCTATAAAAGATTCTTTTGTCCCGTTTTGGGGTGTATGCCCCTTCCAAATCCGAGGAATATGGACAGCAGCTATTTATGAAAGAACCTTAGTGGAGCTACAGTGAGATCTGAAATACGCGTAATGAATTAACCAGGCTGTCTATTCTGTTTAGTGTGGGAAAAATCAAAGCTATACATCTGTAGTACATGAAATGGAATACATATGCCTCAGAGTTTTATAGCTGAAGATTTTGATTAAAAAAGGAAGGGAAATGCAGGGATCATATTTTCAAGGTGGAAAGAAAAGCTGGAGAAGTTCCACAATGTTGTAATTAAGGTAACCCAGCACACCAAAGCTATCAAATGCTTTAAAGAATGATGTAAAGCTAATGTGATGTGAGGTTATATATAGGAGTGGGTTATCGGTTTATAGTTTTTAATAGAGTGGGTATCCTGTCATTTTTTTATTGCCATTTTGGTCCCCTCTGGTCAGATTTAAACTCTCAATGTATCCTCGACACCATTGCACAGAAGGTAAAGGGAAATGTTCCAATGGGAACAGATGTTTCTCTGACATCTAAGAGGGGATTTCTTGGGACCACTCCTCCCTTCCTATTACATTTACATTTTTTTTTTTCCCCCCTAGTACTTATTTCTTCCTCTGAGAGAAAAAACTCCTGTGTAAGCTAAAAGTCACAAGAGTTACAGTTTAAACAGTGCTATGGACCTTTCTCAGCACACATAGAGTTACATGCTCCCCCATACCTGAAAATACTTGACATTTCCTTCAACTCCCAGCGCAAAACAGAGCAGAGAGGGAGTCAAGGAAAGGTAACTGAATGCTGCGGATTGATGGTGTTTAAAGAAATCATGGTGCCCTGAATGAGTACAGCACTGGTTTGCTTCAAATCACACCTCTAACGTGTTACTAACCTACGGTCCTGCATTGACTATATCTGGTCTTCCACAGTACACAGAGCATGAAAATGCAATTATTTTAGTAAATATGAACTGATAAATACCTCTTCTCATCAGCAGTATATAGCAGTCTTTTGACTTCTATCAGTATCTGACCGAGCACTGGGTAATCTTGTAGGAGGCGTTTTCATTCTCCTCTGACTATCCTATGAAACTGTAGGACCCCTGACCCTCTGTCTGGACAGCACTGATTGGCCCTGTGCAATCACATTTATTTGTAAATCTGTTTCTTAAGATGTCATCAATAAAGACCATATTTAAATTTGGTTTGGGCTAAAAGTATTATTTTTTTATCAAGACAAGTAGATTGTCATGAGGGATAAGTAGATTGGGAGCCCAACTTAGTCCCTTGGACAAGTAGGTTTTTATTTTCGAAATTTCAAAACCCCTGATGTGTTACTGCATATACAGTCTGATTTTACTGTTAGTAACACTTTAACTGAGCTGGAATTCTTTGATCTGGTTGCAAAATGACATTACTGACAAACAACCCAGCATTAACATAATAAATTCACATACATTGTAGAAAAAAAAAAACAAAAAACAAAAAAAAAATACAAGTGACAAGTTTTTCCTCCAAATTGTTTGCCACCAAGACCTCACATGCATGTCTTGGAGGCTCAGCACATAGTTTGAGAACCATAGTCCTAAACTTTAGAGAGATACTGTCATCAGGTAACACTTTTCAGGCTGCTCAGGGAGCAGTGTGAGCGGTCTCCCACAAAAAGCCTTTAACACTCCTGAAAGTGTCAGAGGCTGAAGAAAACCACAGCCCTACTACTGACAGATAGCATAATGCAAAGCCAGCATCAACAAGTGCTAATTTCAAACATTTTATGAATATGAATAGCCACTAAAACTGTGTAACTTATGGACAGTGGCTATTTAATATTTATCCCCTACACACACACACTTTTCTTTATGGGTGTGTATATTTCCTGTGTAAACTCACCTCAGAAACACTGTTGTGGAAGAATTCCACAATGCTTTTCCCAGTAAGTGCAGAGATAAATTGCAATGGTTCAGATGCTGATAGGTGGAATGGTATCTGGTTTTCTTCACTTAATTTATAATGTAAACTTTCATTAGGGTATGTGGTAGGTAAGGTCATGGAAAGTTTAATGGTACTAGAAAAAACAAAAAACACAAAAAAAATAAGGGTTGATGAATTTATAGTTTCTGAAACAAGACAATCTACTATACAACCAATATCAATTATTTAAAGAAATAGAAATGCCTGCAGCAGGTTTCAATACCCCCTTCTCTGCTGGAATCCTGGGATTTACCACCACGTTCCTACTGGTCATTACAGGGAGGAAGTGAGGTTGTAAGGAAAAGGCAAGCTTCAGCATTGTCTGCTAGTATTAAACCTTCATTTGTCAGAACATTTTGGGATCTGGGCAAAGCAGGTGGTACTGAAAGCTGCTACAGATATGTACAGGGATGTTCAATGAGTGCCTGCACTTCATATCGGTCAGTAGCTTTTCGTTTTATTTAAGTGTAAGTTTTTTAAAGCAATGGTGTGTAGCAAAGGTCAGCCCAAACCCTGTATTCCATTCTCCTAATAAATTCCTAGATATATGAAGAGAACACTAGTGCAGACTAATAAAACCCAATAGCTCCAGTCAGATTCACCCAGTGAAGTAACTGGCCTCAGGTGATTCACAGAGATTAAACAAATCCTTCTACAAGTCGTGCCTGTTTATCTGCAGTGTTCTCTTCTTTACAGCTGTTTAAAGTGCAGAATTTATACATCTTATCTGATGTTCCAGAAAGCAGGGGGCGAGGAGCGGAGGTTACACTCTGCAGATCTCAGTGCAGAGAGCTGATTGGAGGGAAGGGATACATCCCCCTTCAAAAAACACACAGGAATATGTCTGAAGTTGCCAATCACAGTCTGTGTACTGGAGCTCCCTCCCCTGTTACCTTTTTACCTCTTGGTGTCAGGAAAACTTGTGAGAAGTGAGTCAAGCAGATATCAAAGGCACTAGGCAGCAGACAAAAATTACACTTAGTGTTCTGGATTGAGACAAGTAAATATTACAAAGGGATATGCTTTGTTCATATTTCATGTCCAAGGTTTACAACCACTTTAAATATCAGGCTATGTGATTTCTGCCAAAGGGAAGGATCAGAGCTGAAACTGGTTGCCCTCCCATTCAGCACAGATCATGTGAGCAAATGCTTTCCAGGTATACCTAAAGAAGAAAACTAAATGTTTTCGAAAGCTTGTACCCCAAAATATGTTTGCTTAGCCAACAAAAGTTATATTTTTACTTTCCTACAAAAATGTGAACACAAATGAAGATAACAAAGTTCTTACCTAACAGTCTGCAGATGAGTTTTCTTGGTTTCCAGAAGGTTACCCTGTGTGCTTTTCAAGTTCATTAAAGCCTTTAAAATTACTATGTTTTTAAAATCAGGAAGGGAAGTTCTCAGTGATTTATACAGATATAAAAAGCGGCATTTATCTTGAGGTAAAACAAAAAAAGCAGTCACAGACATGGAATCCAAAATTAACTGGAGAACATGACCGTCTTGGAGAGAATGGTTCTCTTCAGTGGGCTGGCACATTGGATGCACAACTATGGAAGCAAGAGGAACTTTGCTCAGGGTGAAGATATTTTGGGAACAGTCAGACAGTTTTTTATCCCTAGAGATCATATGATAATCTATTTGGACCATTATCATATCTTGTTGAGTAAAGAACAACCAAACCGGCAAAGCATTATCAGTATTGTGATTAGAATTGTGCTTTATGATAAAAAAAAGGTGCAGAACTCAACTCTGTGCCCTTAGAGTTTTTTTCATGCAGGTCTCCTTGAGTGTTTCTTTTAAAAAGGACATCAAAATAAAGCAAACACACTGGAAAAAAACCTTTAACTTCACAATCTGCTAAATCTATCTGGTGCTCCACTAATAGATGTTGAAAGAAACTTTGAAGTCCAGCTTCGAAAGTCGGGGCTGAGACAGATGGCAGTGAAATGCTGTTTTGTGAACACTGTTCATGTAAACATGAAGAAAATTCTTCCACGTTTCGAGATTCTGATACTATGACTATGTACTCCTCTCCATTTCTTATATTAAGTGCTATGCATGTCTCTGGTATTAGAACTCCAAATTCAGTTACATCTTCATAATAAAAATAGAAAACTAGTTTTAGCAAAGATGGAAGGGAAGTGTGGCTTTTTTCCGGCTCCTCACGATGGACCTCAAAAAAGGCAATTAAGGTATCAGTTAAAACAAGGCATGAAGAAAATGGTTTGACATTGTCTCCCTGAAGGTGAACTGAGAAGTTCCAAAGTACTCGTACAATACTGATATTTGTGTCTTGAAGACATGGAGTTCTCTCTGGAAGATTCCAGTCTACACTATGGTCTTTCTTGTGGAGTCCCATTTCAAAGTAGCCATCCTCTGGTTCACAAGAGTCTCCTCTTGGGTTATTACTTGTCTCCAGCTTTCCTGCTAGATGCTGCTTCTGCTTTAGTGCATGGGCAATTGATGTGGAAAAGTAAGGAATAAAATCTCGATCAGTGTCAGTATTTGATACGCAAGGGATAGGAAAAAGGGAGCAGTGAAGTTCTGGAAATACTGTAGACTCCTCTTCTAACGTAATCAGACTTTCCATTAAAAGGACAAAATGAACAAATTAGCTCGGTAAAACAACAATATGCTCAATAACAGAACAAGACAAATAATTTAGCCTGCAAACAATCACATATATTTTTTTATTGGTTGCACGAGCGTTGAACCTGTGCCAGTATGTAAACAGCAGTTGCACCATGCATGCGAGGTATCTCTGCGAACATCAGATCAAGGTCAGTAACTCTAGCACTAGACCTCCTTTGTAAATCTAAAATGGTAGCTTGTAAAGGCTTTTAAAACATTGCCTATGGATAGTAAAAATGTATGCAGTTTGTCGCCATTGCACGGGGCATGCACAGTTTTAAAGCATATCATGTTTAGTATCTATTTACTCGGCATACCATCATCTTTTATATTTTACCAAATAATTTGGCAAAATATTGTGTTTTTGTGCATTAATAGTAAAAAAAGCAAATTTTTTCATAAAATTTGCGTTTGAAAAATCACTGCGTGAGTACTATGTGACATGAAAAATTGCAGCACCCACCAATTTATTCACTAGGGTGTCTGCTTTAAAAAAATATATATAATGTTTGGGGGTTCAAAATTATTTCCTAGCAAAAAATACAGATTTTTTTCATGTGAACAAAGAATGTAAGAACAGGCTTGGTCTTCAGGTGGTTAGAAGAACGAGTGATGTGTGGCATAAACATCTAATGCTGGGCATAAAATACCCCCAACCCCCAAAATGACCTGTTTGGAAAGTAGACACCCAAACTATTCGCCGAGAGGCACGCCGAGTCAACAGAAAAATGTATTTTTTTACCACACGTTTTTGGGGAGATAACATTTAAAAAAAAAATAAAAATTATTATATATTATATTATTATATACATATACATACACACACACATACATACACATATATATATATATACACATACATACATATACATACACACACACACACACATACACATTTATATATATATATATATTACACAAAATTGTCACTTAAATGATTTATTGCTCACACAAGCCATGGGTATATGTGGAATTACTCTCCAATATACATTCTGCCACTTCTCCCGAGTATACCACATGTGAGAGACTTTTTGACAGTCTAGCCAAGTACAGGACCCCAAAATCCAATAAGCACATTCAGGCTTTTAAAGGGCTTTATTTCTTCATTACATGGCGTGTATTTTGCAGATCTCGTTTGTTGCCACAAGTTTTTGGAAAATGAAGAAAAGAAAAACATATTTTTTCTTTTCTTTTTATATATTTCAAAACCTTGTGAGAAAAAATTAGATCTGCAAAATACTCCCCATGCCTCTTTTTTTAAATTCCTTGGGGTGTCTATTTTCCAAAAAGGGGTCATTTGGGGGGGGGGGGGGTTGGTGGCTATCCTGGCATTTCAGGGCCTGATAGGTAGTAAGGAAGTGAAATGAGTACATTACACACCTTCAGGCTTTCAAAGTGGTCATTGGATTTCAGGCATCTGTATGTGGCTAGGTTCCCAAAAAGTCTCACACATGTGGTATCCCCATACTCGGTAAAGGTAGCAGAATGTATTTTGGGGTGTAATTCCACATATACCCATGGCTTGTGTAAAAAAAAAAAAAAAAAATACTCCCCATGTTTAATTTTCCAAAAACTTGTGGGGAAAAAAAAAAATCTTCCATGGACTCAATATGCCTCTCAGCAGATAGCTTAGGGTGTCTACTTTTGGAAAAGGGGTCAGTTGGGGGTGTTTGTACGGTCCTGGTATTTTAGCACCTCAAGAAATGCAATAGGCAGTTAGAAAGTAAAAGCTGTGTAAATTCCATATACCATAATTTGTAGACGCTATAGCTTTCACACACAGCAATCAATATACACTTTTTGGGATTCTTTTACCAAAAACATGTAGCAGAATACATTTTGGCATAAATTAATTTATCACATTTGAGTTTTTTGAGAAAAGTTCAGTCTTTTTTTTGTTTATAGCGTGAAAAAATAAAAAGTGCACAGGTGATCAAACACCACCAAAAGAAGGCTCTATTTGTGAAAGAAAGGATATAAATTTCATTTATGTGCAGCATTGCATGACCACGTAATTGTCAGTTAAACTAGCGCAGCGCTGTATAGAAAAAAAATGGCATAAATTGAAGTATCTCTATCATAGTTTGTAGATACTACAACTTTCACACAAAGCAAAAAATACACAGTTATTGGGATTTTTTTTTTTACCAAAGACATGTAGCAGAAAACATTTTGGCCTACATTTATGACTAACTTTGAGTTTACTATATATTTTTTTAGAGCCGAAAGTGAAAAATATAGTTTCTCTTTCAAAAATTTTCAGTCTTTCTTTGTTTATAGTGCAAAAAAAAAAAAAAAAAAAAAAAAGTGCACAGGTGATCAAATACCACCAAAAGAAAGCTCTATTTGTGTGAAAAAAAAGGACGTAAATTTCATTTGGGTACAGCATTGCATGACCACGCAATTTTCAGTTGAAATAGTGCAGCGCAGAATAGAAATAAAAAGGGCTGGTCAGGAAGGGGGGTAAATCCTCAGGAGGGCAAGTGGTTACGCAAACTTGCACTATAAAAACAAAAGCAACTTATATGACTCCTAACATTACATAAAAAATAACATCCAATATGAATTTTAATAAAAAACACAAAAACTAAACTGCTGGTAAACTACAATGAAATCATACATACACTCAAAGTGCCTCAAAGTGTGGTATACAGTGCCTTGAAGAAGTAATAACCTCCCTAGCGGTATGATTATGTCAATATTTCTGTGCTCAAAGCGGTACTTTTTTTGCATGGAAATATATAGTTTTTTTTTTTATAGTAGGCCTGTAATTTTTAGGAATAACTCCGAACAAGAGTCTAATAAACATCCCGGGTATGTTAAAATTTGAAACATGCAATCATAAATTATAATTTAATAAATAATCATAAAAAAATAATATAATAATAAATTTATTTCAATAATATAATCAAATCAAAAACACTGAAATTTGAAATATAGCGCCAAGTTCGCACATCACTGACCAAAGTCACAAAATCGTTTTCAGTGTCTGATGACGAATTTCCCCACTAATCATTATCACTCAATTCTGCAAGTAGCTCTAAATTTACTATCGCTGTTCTCTAGCTGGTGTAAAACCGCTTTTGACCTAAAGGGACTTTTTTTGGACGTCATGGACATTTCTCAGTTTCCAGGCAGAAAGAACAGTAAAAATGCAGGCAGGGCACAGGACAAAGCACTAGGGACAAAATGTACATGAAATGTTTGATACAGTAATGTTTTACTATGTGATTTTAGAGTATTTAGTGAATGTCACTTTTTGACATTTTTAAATTTCCCGCCGTTCCATCCCCCATACGTCCCGACGTCGCAGTGAACGGAACCCGAAAGACAGATGCCAGCATCGGCCGGAGGAGATGGCAGGGGACGCTGCAGGAGGGACATCGCGGGAGCGAAGGACAAGATAAGTGCAGAAGGGATCCCGGAGCAACGCTGCAAGGTATTCTCGAGTGTAGAATACACTAATAAAGTATAAAGAGTTACAAATAATACAGAAAACACGAAAAGACACACAATTGGCTATTGACTATAAAATAAAAGGGAATAAAAACAGAAATAAAACTTTTACCAAGAGTTATCCTGCGACTGGAGCAAGTCAGAGAAAGTCCGCGAATTCGCCAATCAAATAGAACCGGCTCCGTACAAATCACACCCTTCATGTCTCAGGGTCCTCAATTTATTGAAATATGGACGTGGGCTGGACATTAGCCCTTGGCCAATCAACCCTGGGGGGGTTTCTGTACCAGCCCACAGGACGTTCTGTGTACTGAAGTGCCCAAAGTCGATTGGACCAGGAACGGTTTGAATCACCAAGTCAGGGATAGAATTTCCGACACCAGCGCATTAGTCCGATCGCGACAGTACCAATCGCTGTTCAGCTGTCGCAATCAGGCACCATACAGCCGTTTTCTGCGTTTCTCTGGGATTCTACATAGGCTACAAATACAGTTTTACATGCAGATGTAGCCTACAGTGTGTCCAATTAGAAGGCAGTATTTTCATCTCTCTGCAACTAATATTTTAACTTTCATGAGAGATGAAATATTTTCCTTTGATCTGGGTATATACCGCATTTTTCGCCGTATAAGACGCACCTGACCATAAGACGCACCTAGGTTTTAGAGGCAGAAAACAGGAAAAAAAAAATTCTGAACTAATGGACTGCAGACACTGTACAGGAGATGACCAGAGACTGAGGACAGCACAGGGATGACCAGAGACTGCGGACAGCACAGGGATGACCAGAGACTGCGGACAGCACAGGGATGACCAGACTGCGGGACAGCACAGGGATGACAGAGACTGCGGACAGCACAGGATGACCAGAGACTGCGGACAGCACAGGGATGACCAGAGACTGCGGACAGCACAGGGATGACCAGAGACTGCGGACAGCACAGGGATGACTGACTGCGGACACAGGGATGACCAGAGACTGGGGACAGGGGATGACCAGAGACTGCGTACCTGACAGGGATTTGACCAGAGACTGCGGACAGCACAGGGATGACCAGAGACTGCAGAGACAGGGATGACCAGAGACTGCGGACAGCACAGGGATGACCAGAGACTGCGACAGCACAGGGATGACCAGAGACTGCGGACACAGTACAGGAGATGCCAGAGACTGCGGACAGTACAGGAGATGACCAGAGACTGCGGACAGCACAGGGATGACCAGAGACTTGACCAGAGACTGCGGACAGCACAGGGATGACCAGAGACTGCGGACAGTACAGGAGATGACCAGAGACTGCGGACAGCACAGGGATCACCAGAGACTGCGGACAGTACAGAGGACTGCTGACCTTTGGGGAAGTGGGGAGCGGGTACCTGAATTTGACAGGTACCCGCTCTTACTTCCGCAGAGTTGTTCTTTGATCTTACCTGTTCCCCGATCCAGCCGCGCGCTGTCTTCCCGGCTTCTGTAATGGCGCTCGGCATGACAGCCGGGTGCCCAGTGCGCATGAGCGAGAAGCACTTGCACTTTGTGATTGGTCCGGCGGCTTCTGGGATCGGTCATGTGTCCCAGGTACCGCCTTACCATTCACAAAGCTTACCGCTTCTCGCGCATGCGCACTGGGCACCCGGCTGTCATGCCCAGTGCCCACACTACAGAAGCCGGGAAGACAGCACGCCGCTGGATAGAGGAACAGGTAAGGTCCCGCTGCAGAGCTGAGCGGCCGGCCCGGTATTCTGACACGGCCGCGGTGGAAATACCGGACCGGCCGCTCCATATTCGCCTTATAAGACGCACTGACATTTCCCCCCCAGTTTTGGGGAAGAAAAAGTGCGTCTTATACGGCGAAAAATACGGTAAGTTATAGCTCCCAGACAGAATAGAGCCCTCTCCTGGTCTCCTGCTGCTTCCTGAAGCAGAAATAGCAAGAGCCCTTGTTTTTAGATTTCTAGAAGGTGGCAAACTGACTACATAGGTGACAATGTTTTATAGGCATCTAGGTGTCACCTCCAGTCTAGAAGCTGCTCTGTCCTTTCAGATGCTAATTAGTGAACATATGTCTCTGACTGAATACTGATCACTTAACTTGTTATCTTTAATAACATGGAACTAAGCTAGATATACAATGACATATTTCTACTGATCACATCTCAACTACTCGAATCTTACATTTATATTACATAGACCAACAAAAAGTGCCACATAAGTGTGAAGTGGAAGGAAAATGATAAATGGTTTTCAAAATGAAATGGTTTAGATGTGTTAGAATGCCCCATACAAAGTCCACACCTAAACCCAATAGAGAATCTGTGGAAAGACTTGAAAATTGCTGTTCACAGATGCTCTCCATCCAATCTGACAGAGCTTGAGCTATTTTGCAAAAAAAAATGGCAAAAATTTCACTCTCTAGATGCGTAAAGCTGGTAGAGACATCCAAAAAAGACTTTCTGCTGTAATTGCAGTAAAAGGTGGTTCTACAAAGTATTGACTCAGGGGGACTGAATACAAATACACGCCACAATTCTCAGATTTATTTGTAAAAAAATGTGAAAACCATTTATCATTTTTCTTCCACTTCACAATTATGTGCCACTTTGTGTTGATCTATCACATAAAATCCCAAAAAATACATTTAAGTTTTTGGTTGTAACATGACAAAATGTGGAAAATTTCAAGGGATATGAATACTTTTTCAAGGCACTGTACTGACATGCAACTTTTTATCTTTTCAAATTTAAGTGCTTTTCTTTGAATACATGTTTAACACCCCCGGTCACACCGGATCACGAGTTTGAAATTGCAGGACTTCAAAGTCGGGTGACCTGCCGATTTGAGGTGCGATTTGCATAGACATCTGACACAAATGTCTATGCAAATTGCACCAAAAGTAGTGCATGCATGCTGTAATTGCGGACAATAGGGTGCGACTTGCAAGTCGTATGGCATGCAAATTAGATTCCAATTCGCATCCAGTGTGACCGGGGTGTAACTCCAGTCCTCTTACGTTATGGGACAGCTATCTTTCTTTCTTTAAACTATCATTTTTGGGAGAACTGCTGTCTATTTTACTGGAGTGGACTCTTCAATAAAGAGAGCAGTGTTACTGAGGGAAGCTGATGGATGTCCTGCTTTGACATTTATGGTGTTATAACTACTGCGCTTTTTGCCTGTTGCCTGTCTGGGGAACAAAATACAGTTAAAATACAGAGTAAGATGCAGTGTGATTGGTTTGGAGGTGGAGGGTTTCTTCCTTCTTGTGCCCTATCTTTCTGAGCACCATCAACCGCATTCTTTGTGATGAAGATTTAAGTGGTCTGTCAGCACTCTTCCAGTTTATTCACACCACTCTTTGGACTGCTACATGCACTACATATGAATGCATTTATTATTGGTTTGTATTAACCACTTGCCTACCAGGCACTTATACCCCCTTCCTTACCAGGCCAATTTTCAGCGCTGCCGCACTTTGATTGACAATTGCGCGGTCATGCAACATTGTACCCATATGAAATTTTGATCATTTTTTTCTCACCAATAGAGCTTTCTTTTGGTGGTATTTAATCGCCACTGGGCACTTTACTTTTTGCGCTATAAATAAAAAAAGTGCAAAAAATTTGAAAAAAAAAAAAAAAGTTTATTTGTTTCTTTTATAAAATTTTTCAAACAGGTATTTTTTCTCCTTCACTGATGTGCGTTGATGAGGCAGCACTGATGGGCACTGATAGGCGGCACTGATGGGCACTGATAGGCAGCACTAAAGGGCACTGATAGGCAGCTCTAATGAGGTGGCACGGATAGGCGGCACTGATATGCAGCACTGATAGGCGGCACTGATAGGTGACACTGATTATGGGTACTGATAGACGGCACTGACTGGCATCACTGCTGGGCACTGACTGGCGGCACTGACTGGCACAACCCCTGGGCACTGACTGGCAGCACTGCTGGGCTGCACTGGTGGGTGGCACTGGTGGGCGGCACTGGTGGGTGGGCACAGGTGGGTGGCACTGATGGGCACAGGTGGGTGGCACTGGTGGGCGGGCACAGGTGGGTGGCACTGCTGGGCACATGTAGGTGGCACTTCTGGGCACAGGTAGGTGGCACTGCAGAGTGGCACAGGTGGGTGCACTGCTGGGCACAGGTGGGGGCACTGCTGGGCACGGGTGGGCGGAGCTAGTGGGCGCACTGCTGGGCGGAACTTGCGGGTGTCACTGCTGGGCACCGATCATCAGGGCACTGATCATCAGTGCCCTGATGATCGGTGCCGATCCCCCCCGCTCTGACAACTGCCGGTTCTCGGCAGTACTTTTCTCACGATCTGACAGCGTGAGGAAAGTGCAGCCGAGGACCGGCACTTGCATTTCCCTGTGATCAGCGTGTCATTGGACACCGCTGTTCACGTGGTAAAAGGCCGGTATGATCGGCCTTTTACCACATCTCGTGATCAGCTGTGTCCGTAGGACACAGCGATCACGGAGATCGCCGGGTGCGCGCCCCCTGGGGCGCGCAGGAGAGCGCGTTCTGGGAGGACGTCATATGACGTCCACTCAGAACTGGCCGGCCGCGGTGAAGCCGTCATTCGGCTATGCGTGGTCGGCAAGAGGTTAAATAGCGCTGTACTGTCATATTACATATATGCTTACACTGTTGCCTACAATATTGTGATAGCTGCTTTTTATTAGGAATGTGAAAGTTTGAGCCCTAGCACGACCATTATTCTTCTATTTTACACTATCTCCTTCTCATCCAATCCCTGTCAACTCTTCTCTACCTTCAACTCTCTTCTTCATCCTCCACCCACTAACTCACTCACTGCCCAGGAAATTGCCAATCAGATTTTTAAAAAAATCGATACAATTCGTGAGGAGATCTCCAAAGCACAGACACTTCCCCTACTTAACACTCCCCATCCACAGGGACAATCACTACTTCTCGCATTCAACCCCGCTACTATAGACGAGGTAGCAAAACTTTTTTCTAAAGCCCACCTAACCATCTGCCCCCTGGACCCTGGCTCTATCTATCTTACACTCTCTAACTCACACCTTCAATCTCTCCCTCTCTTCCAGTATCTTCCACAATTCTCTAAAACATGCACTAGTCACCCCCATACTTAAAAAGCCCTCACTAGACCCCACCAACCTTAACCTACGACCCATCTCCTTATTCCCCTTTTCCTCCAAAGTCCTTGAATGCCTGATCTACAACCAGCTGAGCGACCACCTCACTGAGAATAACCTACTTGATCCCCTTCAGTTTTGATATCGCTCTCAGCACTCCCACCGAAACTGCTCTCCTCAAACTTACAGACGATCTACTAATGGCTAAAACCAATGAACACTATTCTGTACTCCTACTCCTGGATCTCTCTGATGCCTTTGACACAGTGGACCACTCCCTCCTCCTCAAAAAACTATACTCCTTTGGTCTCCGTGACTGTGCTCTTCATTGGTTCTTATCCTACCCATCCCAGCATACCATCAGTGTCACTTACAATTCTACTTCCTCTTCTCCTCTGCCTTTTTCCATTTGGGTTCCCCACGGTTCTGTTCTGGGACCCCTCCTATTCTCAATCTACACTTCTTCTCTAGGTCAGTTGCCTCCCATGGTTTTCAATACCATTTCTATGCTTATGACACTCAAATCTATCTCTCTACCCCTCAGCTCACTCCATCAGTCTCCTCACGTATCACTAATCTACAAACAGACATATCAGCCTGGATGTCACACCACTTCCTGAAAATCAATCTATCCAAAACGGAGCTCATATTTCCTCCTCCCTACGTGCCCCTTCCACTGACTTATCTGACAAAATCAGCGGCTTACCATCAACCCGTCCCCACATGCCAGGGTGCTAGGTGTAATCCTGGACTCTGAACTATCCTTTCGGCTCCACATCCAAACACTGTCCAAAGCTTGCCTCCTCAACCCCCGCAACATCTCCAAGATATGCCCCCTCCTAACGAATAACAACACAAAGCTTCTAACTCACCCCATGGTCATCTACCGCCTTGACTACTGCAACTTCCTTCTCATTGGCTTACCTTTGCATAGGCTATCCCCCCTCCAGTCCATCATGAATACTGCTGCCAGACTCATCCACCTTACCAACCGTAGTGTCTCCCACCCCTCTTTGTCAGTCCCTTCACTGGCTCCCTTTCACCTAACGAATAAAATTCAAGATACCCACAACAGCTTATAAAGCCAGCTACTACTTAGCCCCTAGTTAAATCACTAACCTGGTCTCAAAATACCAACCAAATCGTTCTCTTCATTCCTCCCAAGATCTCCTGCTCTCTAGCTCCCTTGTCACCTCCTCCTATTCTCACCTCCAGGATTTCTCCAGAGCTACTCCCATCCTCTGGAACTCGTTCCTCCAATGTGTCTGACTATCTCCATCTCTGTCTACTTTTAGACGATCCCTGAAAACTTATCCCCTCAGAGAGGCCTATCCTGCCAGCACCTAACAACTGTACATGTATTTTGTCCATTAGCTTATCCCCCCCAGTTTATTACCTTTTGTATCTCTCGACCCTCCCTCTTAGATTGTAAGCTCTAACGAGGGGGCCCTCTGAATCCTCCTGTATTAATTTGTATTGTAATTGTACGGTCTGTCCTTTTGATATAAAGCGCTACGTAAACTGTCGGCACTATATAAATCCTGCATAATAATAATAATTATTATTATTATTATTAAAGGAGAAGAACAGCCAAAGCTCTTTTGGGTGTACTTCTCCTGTTGATCACACGAGTACAGTAAGTACTACACTCCTGTGACCCGTTTTCAGCCGAATCCCGTTGTCGGTTGACATCACTAAGCCAGTCCAAGCTGACTTCGAAGTTGGTATCCAACTCAGAGTCTGGAGCGGCACCTGGCTCAGCCTCTCAGCGAGTCTGAGCTAGCTGCTCCCTCCCCCTTCACAGCCAATTGCTCCAGTGAGCATGGGGGGAGTACAAAGCAGGTAGCTATGGCTGACAGTCACTGCTCTCTGCTCAAACCGGCTGTGAGAACTTAGCGGTTATGTGATCGCGGGACGAAGGGGGGGGGTCAGCTGCTGCATCAAATGCTGCATCCAGCTAGGCAGGTATAAATGGGGGGGGGAGAAAAAAAAAAGTCCACACATCTCTTTTAACCTTCGTTTATCTCATTAATAAACACAGGCTCAGTGCAAGGGCACATAGAAATAAATTGACCAATAAAACTGAGGGACTGATTGAGGCAAGGTAATTTTATAATAATGTGGATCATGTTTTTCCTGTCTAGGTGGGAGTGGCCTCTCTCTCGTGTAAGTTGTCCTGTAAGGGCTATGTGCCCTTGCTTTGAGCCTGTCTGCATTTTAATGCAATGCACCGCAACTCACCACAATGCAGCAATGTGGTGTGAACAGGGCACATATAAAAACAATTGTTTTCTATGCACCCTGTTCACACCACAATATGGCATTGAGGCGAGTCGAGGTGCATTGCATAAATGGCAAAGGAAGCAAAACTGGCAACACAGACTTTGGTGAATAGTCTTGCTATTTTTGAGGAAGCAAAATTTGTAACAATGCAAAGCACTGCCAACACAGTGCAGCGTGTATATACAATTTTTGCTATGGTGAAACCACTTTTTTTATGGTTTTGTGAATTACACCAAATGTAGGTAAAAAGCTTACCTGACAACATGAAGATTTTTATCATCATTTTGTGTAACTACTTCAGATTTGGATGGCTGCAACGAGAAAAATACAAGAGTTCAAATTATTTAAAAGCATTTTATTCTCAGCATTATACCCTTACACAAGTATGACAAGATACCTGGGAATACTAATAGAACGATCCTTTCTTGGGACAAAAGAAGAGGGAAAACCCAAATTGGCCACTTCAGGCCCTGCTATCAGTGAGAGACGAATGATATAGTGATACCTGGAACTGAACCCCTGCCCCCAAACCATGGAAACCAGAGCCAAGGAGAGGACTGGGGGCAGACGAGGGATGCAACTATCTTTATGGGCAGTTTGTTAAATTCCTGAACTTTTTTTGCTTCCTGTGACTTGTCCATATAACTTGCCATATGTGGTTTGTTTACACAGCAGGCTTCTCCTCTAGCATCTTGGTGGGGCTTTGGATAGTGAAACAAACTCCTGTCTCTGTTACTTTTCCTGCCTTACACAGACCTGGCCCTGGAAACAGATACAGTTGTGCTCAAAAGTTTGCATACCCTGGCAGAAATTTTCCATCTTTATAAAGTTCCATTACTTTGTTACGCATGACTTTTGACAGTTCTTTTCTGATCCCCATGGCTCAGTATCTAGCCTAGTCAGTGCTTCCACGTAAGAGCTAACAAACTCATTGACCATTTATACACTGACACTAATTGCAATTTAAAAAGCCACAAATGTGGGACATTAACCTCTAATTGGCATTTTAACCCGTGTGTGTGTCACCTTGTGTGTCTGTACCAAGGTCAAACATTCCAGGGTATGTAAACTTTTGATCATGGCCATTTGGGTGATTTCTGTCATCATTATGATTTAAAAAGGAGCCAAACAACTATTTGATAATAAATGGCTTCATATGATCATCATCCTTCAATAAAAGAGCGTTTTTTGGCATGATCAGTCATATTTACAATATCAATGCCAAAATTTCACAATTTCTGCCAGGGTATGCAAACTTTTGAGCACAACTGTAAATCAAAGAAGACAACCCCCTCTCACTATACAGTTCACAGCAGGTAGATGTACTGTGGGCTACTGGGTTATGTTAAAGTGGGGATATACTTACCTTACCTTCAATGGTCCGGGTCCCTCGCCGGTATCTTCTGTTGGGAACCAGTCTTTGGCTGTCTTCATTGGCTAGCAAGGGAGGATGTCATTCCTACCCATGTGCAGAGGTGCAGTCATCCCAGCAAACATGCACTTTGCTGGAATGTAAACTGAGCTGCACTTGTGAGTAGGCAAGTAGGTTTCTTTTACTGAAGAAGAGACATAGCATGTTTCTTCTGCAGAGCCAGCCTGTTTGCAGTTTTCGACAGTGGGACTTTAGTTCTGCTTTACCTTTGTAGTAATTGTGGAGTTTTATGGCATCCCCTCTGTGTACTGTGAACAGATCCTACAGAAACATGAAAACTATTCACACCTTTTTTGGTAAAAAAAAAATACTAGTGTTATTGTTTTTTTATGTTTGAATTACTTTTATAACTGACTTTTAGTTATTGCAAGCACAGCTCCCAACTGGCCCTTATTTGGAACCCAACCCTTCTGATCCTTTTTTCCTGTTAGGTTGTCCCTCTTGTTAGTCTGATGTATAGACCTCTGGAAAAGAAAATATTATTTCATTATCAAGAATATTATATTACACAAAGGGCTGCAACAAACCTTTGCAGTCAGGTGCACAGAGGTAACACATGGGTTACCACAGTGCAAGGTAACACATATTAAGTGCATTAATGTGTTGGGGTGCCAGTCATTTTAAATGGCACCCCAAATCACTAAGGCAATGCAGCTCTCAGCGCACCACAAACCAGTAAGGCACTATTGTGTATTGTGGTACGCTGTGTCAGAATAACAACCTGTATGTCTAGTCCTGTGCGTTGGTAGCCCATTAAAAATGACTGGGCTGTTATAATGCAACACACTCTGTGTGACACAACGTGCTTTAACACGCAGGAACAGAAAGGTCTGAATGGGCCCTAAATCTTTTATCCAACTTCTATATTGCATTTGTTATTTGAAAAAGCCAATATCAAAGAAAAGTAGTGGTGGACGGTGTCATATGTTACCGTGTGCACAGTAAGTAAGCTAAAGTTATAAGCCCCTCCCACATTTAGCACAAATTTGCCACACCCATGATTTGCCATGGTGTGCCCCCTTCTTATTGAACCCCCCCCCAGGAAAAAAATATCTATGGCTCTGCATTGAGAAAGACTTAGAGTGTATTTAAACCCCAACAATGAATTTCCATTATTTCCTACCCTTTGGTCAGTTAAATATATCATTATAAACTATAAAACAAAGTGAGGTTGTTTAAAATAAGAGCGATTTACACATCGGACTAGTACAGGGTGCAGAACGTCAGCATTAAAGTGTATGTAAAGGCATTTTTTTTTTTAAACTAAAAGAAAAAAAGTTATATCTACCTGCTCTGTGTAATGGTATTGCACAGAGCAGTCCCTTCTGGAGTTCCCTGTCGGCGCTCTCTGTTGCCCCTTCATGACAGGTGCCCTCTTAGCAAGCCGTCGAATGCACTCTTGAGCTGGGCTGTGTGCACCCAACGACACGGACAGTACAACTTGGTCATGCCCTCTGCTTTCTTCTCACAGGATTTGACTGACAGCAGCAGGAGCCAATGGCTCTCTCTGCTCTCAATAGTCTCCCATTAGACTAAGAAAGAGTGGGAGAGCAGGGGCATGCTGCAGACAGGACAGAGCTGCATTGGGAGAAGACTCAAAATGTAAGTGTTTAGGGAGGGGGGTGAGAGGAACAGGTACTGGAAGGTTTTTTTTTTTAACCTTAATTCTGAGAATACATTAAGGCATAAAAAAAAACATTTTGAGTTTATAAGCATTTAAAGCTGCAGATTTGATGTAAAACATAATGTATCAACTCAGCTAGGCTTTCCACATGGCATGCACATACATACCAGCTACAGATTTTAATAACATGCTATTATAATAGATTGTGCCCCATAACTCACCTCTCTGCTTTTTACTTTATCATGTGCAGAATGTTGAATTCCACCTTTTCTCTGTGAATGATCATTGCGAGTTAGACTAGAGGATCTGATGTCTGTGGGCTGGTCTATGAAATTAAAAAAACAGTCAATTATACAAATGCATGGATAAATTTAAATGTAAACTCTAATCAGATAAACAAAAAAAAAGCATTGTAAGTACCTGAATTTGACTGGTATCAGCATCTTACTGTGCCTGTACAGAAGACCTCAAAGTGGGAGAGGAAGAAGCAACACAAGGAACCAATCAATTTATGAGCACAGAGCATGTTGATAGTAGGAGAAAGCAAAGTGACAGACAAGTTCGCTCATCACTGTGCTGCTCTTCCTTCACTATCCAGTCACAGACTGGGAGCAGGTCCATGACAGCCTGGACTCATAGGGAGCTGGTTGAATTATGCTCGTATGCAGGAGATTACATGGGGCTCATGTAAAACTGATTTAAGCACTCATCCTACCTATATTAAAAAAAAGTAAAATAAATGAATGCATAACTGGGTTAAATGCTGTTTTTAATACCTGCAGAACTGCTGACTGAAAAACCCTTCTTAATTGTAGGCAAATAAAGTAGGCCTCGATTTACTAAAATCAAAATTCAATTTGTATCTAAAGTATAACTAATTGTAGAACGTTATTTCTGTTTGTATAGAGTGGAGAGGGATTAGAACAGCTGTCAGTCTTTTATTGCTGTCTGTGCCCGTTAGGGAGATTCACCCTTTCTATTTGTCCTGTTTACCATTATCCCAGAGTAAAAGTGACCAGAACAGGAATAGAAGGAAATCTTCCAATACGACACTGGTTTTGATGACCCTGGTGACAACCAAGGATTACCTCGCTTTGGAAGGATTTTTCTCTTGCTTCCTGTTTTGGCTATTAGACAGGAAATGAAGAGAATCTTCCAAATGGGACACAGAAGACAAGGAAAGAAGGAAAAACAACAGACGGTAATAACCCTCCCTCACACTAAAATCTAAAATGGAAAAAAAAAAAAAAAAAAAAGTTTTTCCTTTAGTTCTACTTTACATAAAAACATAAGTGACCCTTCACAATAACTAAACCGTCCTGAATATATATGAAGAGAAATGGAAAAAAATGTCTGAAAAACTGAAATTCTAATTTAATTCATAATGTATTTTGTATAATATTTTATTTTGGAAATTCTTTATAAAGGCCCAGAGCAAATCAAAAGCACCAATAACAGTGGTCAGAGTACAAGTATCAGTAATAGAAAGCCAGGTACAAAGTGTATACATTCTAACTTTGGTGAAATCAGAGCAGATGACCCTCAATAAGACCCATTGTATCATGGGGCAGTGCACATGGCCTTATCTAAAGAGATATCCTGAGGCTGGGGGTAATGAAGATGGCAGCTGTTTGCAGGTAGGGTACCCTCTGTGGGTGAAGAATGTAGGGTACATTAACTCGAAAGCATTAGGTCTATATGAAGGTTAGGAAAGTCTGTTAAAAAAGGGGTGATAAAAATACAGTGACGGGGGGAGGTGAAAGATTAAGAGGTTAAGGATAGTGGGTTAAGGTACTTTGAGGTAGTACGGGCTAGTTCTAGGCTTAGTGGAAATGGGTAGTGGAGTGGAAACCAGGAAAAAGTGGATGAAACGGAGGAGTGGGAGGGATAGGAACAAGAGTGAGAGAGATGGAGAAGGGAAGGGGTAGACAAGGATGTCACCTGCAGATAAGTAGTAGGGAGTAGCAGGGGAGTTCAAGAGTCCCAATGTATTTCTATTAAGTCAACAATCATTAGACAGAGGACCAGTGGTCATAATTGGCATATAAAAAAAAAACAATACAACAACAAAAAACACAACAGATGTGTGTAACAGAATGTGTAAAAGCTAGTACATTTTTTAAAAATATACAGTGCCTTGAAAAAGTATTCATACCCCTAGAAATTTTCCACATTTTGTCATGTTACAACCAGAAACGTAAATGTATTTTACTGGGATTGTATGTGATAGACCAACACAAAGTGGCACATAATTGTGAACTGGAAGGGAAATGATAAATGGTTTTCACAATTTTTTGTAATACTTTGTAAAACCACAGTACAGCTGAAAGTCTTTTTGGGGATGTCTCTACCAGCTTTGCACATCTAGAGAGTGAAATGTTTGCCCATTCTTCTTTGCAAAATAGCTCAAGCTCTGTCAGATTGGATGGAGAGCGTCTGTGAACAGCAATTTTCATGTCTTGCCACAGATTGTCAATTGGATTTAGGTCTGGACTTTGACTGGGCCATTCTAACACATGAATATGCTTTGATCTAAACCATTCCATTGTAGCTCTGGCTGTATGTTTAGGGTCGTTGTCCTGCTGGAAGGTGAACCTCTGCCTCAGTCTCACGTCTTTTGTGGACTCTATCAGGTTTTCTTCTAAGATTGCACTGTATTTGGCTCCATTCATCTTCCCATCAACTCTGACCAGCTTCCCTGTCCCTACTGAAGAAAGACAACATGATGCTACCACCACCATGTTTCACGGTGGGGATGGTGTGTTCAGGGTGATGTGCAGTGTTAGCTTTCCGCCACACATTGCATTTTGCTTTTAAGCCAAAAAGTTAAATTTTGGTCTCATTTGACCAGAGCACCTTCTTCCACGTTTGCTGTGTCCCCCACATGACTTCTCGCAAACTGCAAACGGGACTTCTTATGGCTTTCTTTCAACAATTGTTTTCTTCTTGCCACTTTTACATAAAGGCCAGATTTTTGTGGAGTGCATGACTAATAGTTGTCCTGTGAATAGATTCTCCCACTTGAGCTGTGGCTCTCTGCAGCTCCTCCAGAGTTACCATGGGCCTCTTGGCTGCCCCGCCTGTCAGTTTAGGTGGACAGCCATGTCTTGGTAGATTTGCAGTTTGGTCATACTCTTTCCATTTTCAGATGATAGACTGAACTGAACTGATAGACTGAGCTTGGGATGTTTTTTTAATAACATAACTCTGCTTTAAACTTCACAACTTTATCCCTGACCTGTCTGCTGTGTTTGTTGGCCTTCATGATGCCGTTTGTTCACTAATGTTCTCTAACAAACCTCTAAGGGCTTCACAGAACAGATGTATTTATATTGAGATTAAATTACTCATGGGGGTATCAGAGTAAAGGGGGCTGAATACAAATTGCACGCCACACTTTTCAGATATTTGTAAAAAATTTTGAAAACCATTTATCATTTTCCTTCCATTTCACATTATGTGCCACTTTGTGTTGGTCCATCACATAAAATACCAATAAAATACATTTACGTTTTTTGTCATGGAATGTAGAAAATTTCAATGTGTAAAAAACACATCTCAACTATGGGGTTTCACCGCCCCCCCAAACCACAAATGTAAACAAACCCTTACTGTCCTGAACCCCCTATAAGGCTGCTTTTGCACTAATGCACTGCGGGTGCAGCGCCCCTGCAGCTTTCCTTCAGATTAGCTGCTCTTTGCCATACACTTCTATTATATTTTGCGAGTGTGGTACACTTTCTGAAAGTGCACCATACTTCTGCATTCAGTTTGAGGTCGAGGGTCACATCAGAGGGCTCTGTGGACCACAGGTTAACCACTAGCCGAATGACGTCCTCCCAGAACGCTCCCCCAGCAGCGTGCACCCAGAGATCTGCATGATCGCTGTGTCCTATGGACACAGCTGATCACGTGATGTGGTAAAAGGATAATCACAGCAGCCTTTTACCACGTGATCAGCTGTGTCCAATGACACAGATCACTGGGTAAATGCAGTTGCCGGTTATCAGCTGCACTTTCCTCACGCTGCGTGAGGAAAGTACTGCCAATAACCTTCAATTGTCAGAAAACAGATTGGCACTGATCAGCAGTGCCACCCACAAGTGCCAAGCAATGCCACTCACCTGTGCCCATCAGTGCTGCCAGTCAGTGCTGCCCATCAGTGCCTGCTCATCAGTGTTGCCTATCCATGTCACCTCATCAGTGCTGTCTATCAGTGCTGCCTATCAGTGCAGCCTCATCAATGCACATCAGTGCAGCCTCACATGCACATCAGTGCAGCCTCATCAATGCACATCAGTGCAGCCTCATCAGTGCAGCCTCATCAATGCACATCAGTGCAGCCTTCATCAATGCACATCAGTGCAGCCTCATCAATGCACATCAGTGCAGCCTCATCAATGCACATCAGTGCAGCCTCATCAATGCACATCAGTGAAGGAGAAAAATTACTGGTTTGCAAAATTTTATAACAGAAACATAGAAAAACTTTTTTAAAAAATGTGTTTCCTAGTTTTTTTGTTTATAGCGCAAAAAATAAAACACCCAGTGACTATTAAATACCACCAAAAGAAAGCACTATTTGTGTGAAAAAAATATGATAAAAATTTCATTTGGGTACAATGTTGCATGACCGTGCAATTGTCAAAGTGTGACAGCGCTGAAAGTTGAAAATTGGCATGGGCAGGAAGGGGGTATAAGTTCCTGGTAGGCAAGAGGTTAAGCACCTCTGATTTAACTGATCGCCTAGAGTTCAGCTTTAAACACACAATTATCTTATCTCCTCTCTAATGGTTTGGGGCCCTTGTCCCCAGTTGCTGGTCTTCAGGCATTTCCATTATGGGCTCGGAATGACATAACTCCTGCAAATGCACAGGAGTCATCCTGACACACAGGGACACGGCTGGCGATATAAGCAGAGCTGCTCAGTTTACATGCTGCAGAAGACTGCAATCAGGCAGGTAAATTAATTTTATTGCAGAAGAGACATTCTGTGATAATAGCCTGCATGCTTTAAGTCTGTTCTAAAAGAGCCTTCAGTTCTACGGTAGCAGACCACAGAGCAGAAATGACCACTGACCAGTTAAACTGCATTCTATGTCCAAAATCTCAGTTTATACTCTGCAAACACTGGTATATACTGAGTCCATAAAACAGTGCCACCTAACCCTTCTGCATATCAATCTCTGCTTCCCTCTTCCCATCACATATGTACATTTGAGGTACTTGCTCACAGGACAAAATACTGTAAATAGCATGTTATTTTTTTTTTAATTGTCTTAGCCTTAATTTTGTAAAGAACAAGTGTGATAACAAATTAACCCT